ACATTTCTCCAAAGAAGATATACGGATGGCCAATAGACACATGAAAAGATGCTCATCATCACTAATCATCAGGGAAATGCAAATCAAAACTACACTAAGATATCACCTTACACCTGTTAGAATGGCAAAAATATCCAAAACCAAGAGTGACAAATGTTGGAGAGGCTGTGGAGAAAAGGGAACCCTCATACACTGTTGATGGGAATGCAAACTGGTGCAGCCACTATGGAAAACAGTATGGAGATTCCTCAAAAAGTTAAGAATAGAAATACCTTATGACCCAGCCATCCCACTACTGGGTATCTATCCTAAGAACCTGAAATCAGCAATTCCAAAAGTTCCATGCACCCCTATGTTTATCGCAGCATTATTCACAATAGCCAAGATGTGGAACCAACCTAAGTGCCCAGCAACTGATGATTGGATAAAGAAGATGTGGTATATATATACAATAGAATACTACTCAGCCATAAAAAAGGACAAAGTCGTCCCAATCACAACAACATGGATAGACCTTGAGGGTATTATGTTGAGTGAAATAAGCCAGACAGAGAAAGATGAACTCTGTATGACTCCACTCATAGGTGGTAGTTAACATATGGACAAAGAGAACTGATCGGTGGTTGCCAGGGGAAATGGGGGTGGGGGGAGGGCACTAGGGGTGAAGTGGTGTACCTACAACATGACTAATAATGATGTACAACTGTAATTTCACAAGGATGTTAACTTTCATAACCTTAATAAAAAAAAGAAAAAATCTAGTAATAAATGTAACAAAAGATGAGCAAGACTTCTACACTGAAAACAACAAAATATTGCTGAGAAAAAGAAATTTAAAAATAAAGTTAAAGGGGCTGGCCCCGTGGCCGAGTGGTTAAGTTCACGCGCTCCACTGCAGGCGGCCCAGTGTTTCGTTGGTTCGAATCCTGGGCGCGGACATGGCACTGCTCATCAAACCACGCTGAGGCAGCGTCCCACATGCCACAACTAGAAGGACCCACAACAAAGAATATACAACTATGTACCGGGGGGCTTTGGGGAGAAAAAGGAAAAAAATAAAATCTTTAAAAAAATAAAATAAAATAAAAAAATAAAAAAATAAAGTTAAAGATAGAAGTAAGTGGAAAGATATACCATGACTGTGGCTAGATATTAAGATGACCATTCTCCCTAAATTTATCTATAGATTCAATATAATTTCTATAAAAATCTCAGGTTTTCTGAAGAAACTGACAAGTTGACTCTAAAAATGTATATGGAAATATACAAAGGATCTAGAATAGCAAACACAACATTGAAAACACAGGGATCTGGAGGACTTAGGCTAGCTGACTTCAGGACGTACTGCAAAGCCACAGTGACCCACACAGCGCGGCAGGGAGTAACGGCAGCCCAACCGAGGACACTCAACAGAGTCCAGAAACAGACATACGCATGTACGGTCAACTGAGTTTGATGAAGGTGCCAGATCAACTCAAGGAGGAAAAGAAAGTTTTTTAAACAAATATTGCTGGAACAAGTGGTTATTTGTATGGAATACAATGAAACTCAGCTGCATCGCACTCTTTCAAAAATTAATCTGAGATAGGTAATAGACCTAAATGTAAAACCTAGAATCATAATGGTTCTAGGAGAAAACATAAAAGAATATCTTGGTGACCTTGGGGTAGACCAAGTAAAAGCTGATAAACTGGACTTCCTTGGAATTAAAAGTTTCTGCTCATCAAAAGACACCATGAAGCAAATGAACAGACAAGGCACAGAATGGGAAAACATATCTGCAGCACATATCAGACAAAGAACTTGTCTGCAGGATATATAAAGAACTCCTACACAAGTCACCAACAAAAAGGCAGACAATCCAATCAAGAAACGGGTCAAAGACTTCAACAGACACCTCACAGAGGAAAATACACAGATGGTCAAGAAGCACACGAAAAGGTGTCCAACAACAGGAGGAAATAAAACCACAATGACATACCATGACACACACCCAGTAGAATGCTTTCAAAAACTACCAACACCAAGGGGCCAGCCCGGTGGTGGAGCTGTTAAGCTCGCATGTTCCGCTTCGGCGGCCCGGGGTTCACCAGTTTGGACCCCGGGTGCAGACATGGCACCGCTTGGCAAGCCATGCTGTGGCAGGCGTCCCACATGTAAAGTAGAGGAAGATGGGCACAGATGTTAGCTCAGGGCCAGTCTTCCTCAGCAAAAAGAGGAGGACTGGCAGCAGATGTTAGCTGAGGGCTAATCTTCCTCAAAAAACAAAAACAAAAACAAAAAAACTACCAACAGCAAATCATGGTGAAGATGTACAACTTTCATGCATTGCTGGGAGGAGTGTAAAATAGTACTACCACTTTGGGAAACTTAGGGCAGTTTCTTACTAAGTTTAAGAAACATCTCCAGTTTGACAGGCAACTCTACTCTATGTGTTTACCTAAGAAAAATGAAACGACATAGCCACACAAAGGTCTGTGCAAGGATGTTCATGCCATCCTTGTCTGTAACAGTCAAACAGTGGAAACAAGCCGAATGTCCAACAGGAGGATGGACAAACCAGCTGCAGCACGTTCACACAATGTAAGACTGCTCTGCAATAAAGACGGACAAATTACTGACAAACACAACATGGCTAAACCTAAGGAAAAATGGTGGTAAGCAAAAAAAGCCAGTTAAAATCATAACTGAAAAGAGAAATCTATTTAAAAGTAAACTGAGGATTTATCGTTTGCCATTAACTATATAAATATGATTACTGAATTTACTACTTATTTCCTCACATTTTACCTCAAACATTAGTTGTGGGATTTGTTACTTGGCAACCTGACACATTAGCCAATTTTCAAACTAACTTGAAATGAAGAAGACATCCATTTCCCAGAATTTTCAGTGCTCTCGTTACTAAATGACAGGTGAGTTAATATTCTTAGCCTGTTTTCCCATCTGTTAATGGGGCTGTAAGAGTATCGTGCTAGGGGTTTACACGTAAGTGCTTAGCACAGTCTATAGCAAGAGCTGAAAAGATTAGCCATTACTCTACTATTACTACCACTGCTCCTGCTCCAAGTATGACCATGGAGTAAGAACAGGCAAAGCAGCTTGATGCAGACAATTTCTTGTGAAATCCTAAAACACACACATTTTTTACTCTGACAAGATGCAGGCCAATGGAGGAACAGAAGCAAGCAGCTGAAACAACCCATCAGTAATTCAAAACATTCCGAGAAGGGGGGGTGGAGGGAGGGCACAAAGGGTGAAGTGGTATACCCACAACATGACTAACAATAATGTACAACTGAAATTTCACAAGGTTGTAAACTATCACAATCTTAATTAAAAAAAAAAAACATTCCGAGAAGGGGCACACTGCTGCACTCGGTGCGAGGGACTCGGCAGCATCTTCTAACAGCTGGCCCAACTGGCGCTGATCTCCTAGGCTGGTGCTGCGGAGGGGGAGGACTTCAGGAGTCTTGATAGCTCAGTAGGGGAGAGGCCTGGGGGTGGCAGCCACAGCTGCCTGAGTGCTGGCCAGCCTTCACCTCCGCCAAGCTGCTCAGTAGGACTGACCCGATATCCTCCTAGACTGTCCTGGCTGACAGGGTACTCCAGTAATTCCACAAATACCCTGACAGTTGGAGACAGGGTCCTTAAACCATTGGCTGACTGCCCGCCTAAGAAAGAAACATTTAGAAATGGGGTTTGGAGACAAAAGTGGGCTTGAATTCTAGTCTGCCACTTTATTTGCAGTGTGACCTCTAGTCTGCCATTTATCTGCAATGTCATAGGGTTTTGGGTTTTTTTTTTCCCTATCCTCTTTGTCCGAGTTTTCTTCATCTGCAAAGTGGAGAAAACAGAACCTTTCTAATAGAGTTCTTATGAAACTGGATGCGATCGCCTGTGAGAACGTACCTAGCACAGAGGCCGGCACGCAGTAGGTACTGTCCCGGCCCACCTTCTAAGCACTGGGCCGCAACTTCCTTATCCATAAGACGGCTTTCAGTATCTTTCATTCCAACCCAACAAAACAGGGCTCCTTCTGGCTTTCTCCCTTTCATTTCTTTGATAATGAGAAACCTGGCTTCCAGGATCCTCGCAATAACATTACCACTGAGAGTCGTGGCAAAGACTAAATAAAGCAGCAGACAAACAACGCACCACGTGAAACGGAAGCACTTTACAAATCCTTCCTCCTCCTAATCCCGAGGGTAGAAGTTCCCAGGGGCATCACAGGCTGGGCATCCCTTAGGCAAGCTCTTGAAAGAGGAGTAAGATTTCACCAGGCGCAGACAGGCAGAAAGGACAGCCTCGGCGTAAGGAACCTAGGACTGGAACTGCTGGGTCAAAGGACGGCCATCTAACGTGGGAGAATATTTGGCTGTCTCTAATAAAGAATTACTTTATGCCCACCAGCAACAGATGAGAGCTCCAGTTGCTGCACGTCCTTCCCAACACCTGTCATTTTTATTTCAGCCATTCTAACAAGTGTGAGACGGTATTTTGTGGTTTATTTATTTTGTTATGAAACCATCCCACACAGAAAAGTCTGCAGTACAAAGAATCCTTTTTCCTGAACCATCCGAGAGTAAGTTGCTAACCTGATGCCCCTTTACCTCTGAATATTTTAGGATTTCCTAAAAACAAAAGCACTCTCTGATACAACTAGAATACAACCATCAAAATCAGGAAATTCAGGGTCGGCCCAGTGGCATAGTGGTTAAGCTTGCACGCTCCACTTTGGCGGCCTGGGGTTCACTGGTTCGGATCTCCGGTGTAGACCTACATACCACTCATCAAGCCATGCTGTGGCAGGTGTCCCACATGTACAATAGAGGAAGATGGGCACGGATGTTAGGGACAATCTTCCTCAGCAAAAAGAGGAGGATTGGTGGCATATGTTAGCTCAGGGCTAACCCTCCTCCTCCAAAAAAAAAAAAGATCAGGAAACTCACATTGATACGTTACTTCTATCCTTTCCCTAGACTCCATTCTGATTTGACCAGTTATCTCAATAATATCCTATATAAAAAAAGGATCCAGTTCAGAATCACACATCACGTCTATCATCATTTCCCTTTAGTCTTCTTCAGTCCTTCCTTGAGCTTCATAACCTTGATACACAATAATGTACCAGCTATTCTGTAAGACGTCTCTCAGTCTGAGTTCGTCTGAACTCTCCTCCTGGTTGGATTCGGGTTACGCGTCTTTGGCATAAAAAAGTGACATTCTATTCACACTCTTCTCACTGCACCCGATCAAGTGGTGCAGGATTTCACCTTGATCCCTTGATTAAGGTGGTGGCCACCAGGCTTCCCCATGTAAAGTTACTCCTTCCTGCTTTGGAATTAATAAGTACTGGGGGAGGGAGTGCTTTGATGCTAGGTAATTATCAATTTCAAATTTTAATTTACTCATTTATTCATTCCTATCTAGACAGACTCATGATGTCCTATTTTATCCAATGGGTTATAATCTGCTACTATCATTTATTTTGATGCTCAATTGTCTCTAATTTGGCCAGTGGAAGCCCCTTCAAACTTGTTTGTGTCCTTTTCACATGTCCCCATCATTCTCTGAGCCTTTCCTCCCTTTCTGGCATGACAAAATGTTCTGGGCTCATATTATACTTTCCCTGCCCCAGCCCCAGAATCAGCCATTTCCCCAAGCAGTCCTGGTTCCCGGAAGTTGAAATTGTTATTTAGAAGCCAAGATCTGAGTGCTAAGTATGCTTATCGCTATTGGGGTGGCGCTGCTTCCAGGCCCACTTAAGTCAACAGAGCCAGAAAATATATGTATGCATTTGCACAGGTAAACATACATATACATTTACAACCATATTTATTTCTATATCTGTCTATGTAAATTGCAAATCATGAGTTCACACCAGTACTTTTTATTCCAGTCTGACACCCCAGGGTTCATTCTGGCTTTTCTCTTTCACTTCCTGGCTTCCATTATCCTTATCCATTTACTTATCTGACCCACTGCCCTGTTTATAACCAACCCACGTTCTCCACTGCCACCCCTCCCGGCATGGATACGCCCCTCTCCTTGCTGGGCTCTGACCAGCTCTGGGAACCCGGGGCTCCCCATCGCTGCAGACACCGCCTGACTGCAGGACTGAACTGCTCAGGAAGGAGAAGGGCTTGACGGACTTCTAAACAAAGGGATCCTTTAATATTTGGCATGCTTTGTGCCCAGAGGATGCCAATGTGCCAGTTTTCACTTTAAAATGAATAAAAGACTACAATGCAGCAGACGGAGACAAAGTTGAGCGCTTTGTTTTAAGTGATAAAAATAGATGTAATTATACACTGAATGTCTACTGAAATCCTCAGGGAAATTACAAATTAACTAGTTGAAGGCAATTTGAAAAAAAGCGACTTTTAAAAGTTATCAGAAAGATCAGTTTACGCCCCAGGATTTGTTTAAATTGATTTCTATAACTGAAGGCTGAGCATTTCACAACCTCTACCCGGCCAACATCTGTTTCCAGCTCCCTTATTTGAAAACCTTGGGATTCTATTTCAAGTTTAAGAATGGAAAGAGATAAAAAAGAGGAAGAGAAACAGATTTTTCAGTTTTGAAACAAAAAAATATGTGGAAGTAGTTCTTTGTTCGCCTTGACTAAACCCCTATACAAATACTAGAGAAAGCGGTGAAGATTACAGAGCCAAGTAGAGCTCTTATTTCTTGTATGCCCCCAACAAAGGCCCTGAAGGCCATGCGATGCAGTCTCACCTTTGTGAGACAGGGGAAGTAAGGGAGTGATAAAATTATATGGACGTTTTAGGCAGATGCCTTCAGGGGCAAGGTGAGGGAAGGACAAGAAGGGTGGCTGCACTACATTGTGAAGGGTCACATAGTTATTTCCATCTTCTGCTCAGAGTAACTGGCACAGGGCAGCGACAAGGCAGGAGACGAGACTGTACTTCACGGTCTAAATGAGAACAGTTCCCATCTGAGTGATCTTAATTTGTCGAAACCTCTGCTGGGACCAGGACCTGAGGAGGCAGCAGCAGCCTCTTCTTCCTTCACTTGGGGTACCTGTTAAGTCTCCAGTGTCGGGGTCTGCCTGGGTTATGGAAGCAGAAATTGGCATCTCTCCCTCTGGTGGGTGAGAGCCCTGACGGCCACGCCATCGCCATGGCAACTCACAGAGCATCAGAGCCCCACCCCCTCCTCCAGGACTTGCTGTGGGTAAGCGCTCTGCCCACGCTCCTCCACCTCTAACCACTCACCCAGATTCTCTGCTTTCTACCTCCAATCAAAGCCCACTGCTTGAGAGTCTGTCCCGTTACCCTGACGTTCAAATCTCAGTTCAGCTGCGTGACAGTGGGTAAGTAACCCAAATTCTCTGAGCCTCGATTTCCTCTATAAAATGGGATGCTAATATTTATTAATAGAGTGGTTGTGAGGATTAAATGAAACAAATTAACATACTGCCTGACACATGGTGAATGCTTAGTAGCAGATAACAGTACAAGTTAACACATGGTAACTCCTCACTACAAGTCTTTTACCTATATCAAGTCATTTTGTTCTCAACAAAGATAACAACAACCCCACAAGATCGGGATTATGAATTTTCCCATTTTACAAGTGAGGAAACTAAGGCACAGAGAAGTTAAGCAATATTCCCCAAATCACACAGCCTGTAAGTGGCAGAGCCAGGATTTGAACACAGGCTCTCTGGCTGCAGAGTTTGAGCTCTTACACACTATGCTATGCTCCTCAATAGTACCATTTCCCCCCCTGAACCTGCTAATGGTCTCACTAATTAGGACATATCCTGATTAAGTTGGCTAATTTTTCATATTTATACAGCAACCCAGCCTGACTAAGCTCCCTGAGGGCAGAGACTATCTCTTGCTTCTCTCCCTATCCTCTCAGTTACTATTTGCTGACAGATACCTTGGCTCATCTACTTACCATCCTCCACAAATGCTTCTATTTGTTGGCACTTGCCATGTCAAATCTGTTTCACAAGTGTGCAGAGAAGAGTTAACACAGCAGGCCTGAGACTGCTATCCTTGGGAAGGCGTGCCTGCAAGCTCAGCTCCTGGCCAGTGTCTGGGAGCCTGGACTTGGGGGGAGAGCCCACCACCCTAACTGCTAGCGTGGCTCACTGTGCCTAAACTGCTGTGCAAACAACGTGGCTGATGTGGAACAGCTGCTTTCCTTCTGGGAGTCTGGAGTTTCGGTATGAACCAGCTGGAAGGTACCTACATGACCAGGCCCAGTAAAATCCCCAGGCGGTGAGTCTTAATGAGCTCCCCTGGTGGACACTTCACACAAGGTGTCACTAGTCGCATCAGTGGGACTCCTGGTCTCCTCTGCTCTTTGCTCGGCTGCCTTCCCCTTGCTTCCCTTTCCCTCTCACTGTAATAAATCACAGCCATGAGCAAGACTATATGCTGGGTCCTGTGAGTCTTCCTAGAGAATCACCGAACCTGACAGTGGTGTTGGGGACCCTGACACAATGAGAAGTAAGAAAATTAGTCCTAAAACAGTATGTGATGTTATCTCCTGAAAGAACACCCCCAAATCTTTCCCAAGCTAGTTTAGAAGCATCCAAGAGTGGGAGCCTGGGCCCAGCACTCCGTGTTCATTTAGGAATTCAACCTCAGGCTGGCTGAGCAGCTGCAAGGGAAGCAGCTTTGAGGACACAGTCCCTGTGTTCTAGAAGCTGGCAGCCCAATGGGGAGGACAAACAGGGGGACAGACAGGTGCCACGGGAAATACTGAAGTCTGGCTCTGCTGCTTCCTGGCTGTGTGGCCTTGGGCAATTCATTAAACCTGCTGGAGGTTTAGTTCTCTCACCTGCAAAAGGGAGCTCATAACAGTACCTGCACTAAATGGGGCTGGGGGCTGGAGTGGGGTGCACACTCGGAGCCCCTGGCATCGAGTGAGTGCTCATTAGGAGGGAGGTGCATGCTGCGGGTGACCTGAGGAAGGCCTCGCAGGGGAGCACCAGCTCTTCCCCCAGGAAGACACTTTCAGAGATAACGAGGAGGGGCATGGGGGTCAGAGACCGAGGTAAAACGGCTAAAACTGTGCCCACCTCATAGGGTTCTTAAGACAAGATGGGCAAGAGCACGAATTTTGGACCAACAGCCTTGGCTCCAATGCCAGCTCTGCTCCTCCGGGCCACAGGATCTTGGGTGCGTTGCCTAACTCCCGCGCCTCAGCCTCCCCATCGGTGAAGTGAGGATGCTGACAGCCCCTGCCTCACAGGACCTGTGAGCTAATGCAGTGTCTAGCGCAGAGCCCGCAGGCAGTAGGTGCTCCACCAGCACGAGCCGCGGCATTTGTGAAGAAACTCAAGCACTGTATATTTTAAAATGTAACTGTCCTAGAAACTTGACTTGCCACCATTATCATTACTGTGATTAATTAAGGAACACCAATGGAGACAATACTTACAATCTTTTCTTATCCACCACTCGTTTAACTCGGATGGCTCTTTGTTCTGAGTAAAGTTTACACACTCCTGTTGCAGGGGAAAATACCAAAACAGAGACCATTTAAAACTGCTTCTCAGGCAAAGGTATCATTAAATATAATGAGACACTAAAGTCTTCAGCTAGGAAAGCTAAATTTTGCATCCCATCTATTGTGAATGCCACATTTGACCTTTAAGATAAAATGAAATACTTTTTAAGTAATCTTCTATGAAATCCAAAACAGCGCTCCTGTGCTCCTTCACTTGCTGGGAATGGATCTCCTTGTGGGCTGCAACAGAAGAGGACAATACTCAGATACTGAAGAACAATTCATCAGCTTCCTTAGAACAGTTTCTTTATTCAAAGTATTTTTTAAAATACAGCTATAAAACAAGTCTGGTGTCAGTCACATCACATTTTTAAAAGAGTAAGATCGATTAGGCTTTACAAGATTGAAAGACTAACCCTGTAGAAAAGCTACAGTCAGTAATTTATGGTTTATTACAGCATGTAGGGATCATACTGGACGCGGCCCACACCTGAGTGCTGACCCCGTTCGTTAGCAGCATCCAGCACTCAAGCTGATCAAGTAACATTTAAATCCAACTCAACTGTACACTCCCTCTGCCTGAGTCGCTGCTGTTTTTCAGCTTGGAGGGCTCTGTCCTCTCCCCTCAGCCACTCACACTCCGAGGGGCCCTCTGACACTGAGTCAAACCTTCCTTCTCCAGGAAACCTTCCTTGACTCCTAACCACAAGGACACCTTTCTTCTAAAAACTCACATCTTCTTTCAGTCCACCATTTATTTTGAGACTGAGTGCCTACTATGTGGAGACACGGCTAGAACTTTACATTTGTTACTGCTAATAGTCCAAACAATCCAAAGGACAATTACGATTATGCTTATTTCACACATAAAAACACTAAGGTTCAGAATCAGTGAGGAGCCCAAGGTCACATGGTTTGGTACGGAATTGCTGGTCTTATTGACGTTCATGTGTTTTCTAGGTTCTCTCAACGAATGTACAGGCCCTGAAGGGCACGGGGATGATCATGGCTTTACCAGAGGGCTGCTGACCTGAGATTCATGCAAGGAGTTCAGCAGCTCCATGAAATTACACACAGAATTTTGTGTGTATGTATCTTTTTCTGGCAAGAATGTCTATAGCTTTCATCAGACTCTCAAGTAGTCCATCAGGGTTCTACGGGAAGCTTCCCAAACAAAAGTCTGTGTCAAGAGCACAGCAGTATCTGGCCACTTTGAACTTCACACTATTTAAAGTGCTCTGTATCTGCCTAAGCAAATTAAAAGAGAATCAAGGAAGATACATGACTTGGGAGGCCCTCACAGCGCCTCGATAAGAATTAAACATCAGTGACAGTGAGATGATAACCATCCTAGTGTCAGTTCTGGTTCGAAGCATGCTACAAGAATTTAACTCTCATAACAGCCTAAGAGAGACGTCCCATAACGTCTCCATTTTACAGATGGAGACACTGAGGTCTAGGCGATTGAGTGGCTGGCCCAAGGCCGTTGGCCAGCACACAGTGCAAGTGGGGGTACCTCAGCAACCCCGGCTCACAGCCTTCCTCCTAACCATGACAGTGTGACGCTACAGTTCCCTCTAATGCTACACGCGGAGAGCTTAGAGTACCTCTTCCACCCTTATCCACATGCCATCAACCACTGCCCCCAGTGCCACACAGAACACAGGCACACAGGCACACATGCACACACACAATTCGTCTTCTCTGACCCTGGTCCCTTAGGAAATTTTGGGTTCTGTCTGGAGAGATCTTTTCCACTTCCTTCCTCCCATTTATTTAATTTTTCATCACTTTTAACAGTGTAGGTTAAAATACTGGTGAGGGAAAGAAGGATTTTAGTTTTGAAACCTAAACCTCCATGAGAACACAAGAGGGAACTAACTGGGAATGCCGCAGGAGCCTCGTTGAAGTACTTAACAGAGCCACGGTTGTCTGTCTGCATCTCTGAGAGCGCCTCACCTTGTGCTCTTAGTTGCTGAATTGCTTCTGAGCAGGTCCTCATGAATGTCTGAGCGTCCTGGTCTATCTGATCTCGTTCTGTGTCTGTCATCTTCCCATATTCAGACATGATATGGCTAAAAAAGAAAAGAGAGAGAGAGAGGGGGACGAAATTAAAGGGCAGAGCAAATGGTCACATAATGTGGTCTGGATGGGGTGTGAAGGGGAGGAAAGCTTCCCTGATGAAGTGACATTTAAGCTGCGAACTGAAGAACGAGGAGGGACCGGCCAGGCTAAGAGGTGGGAGAATGATCTAGATGGTGGAACCAACACTTACGAGGTAGAGAAAGCTCCCTGTAGAGACCAACCCCGAGCAGGCTAGTCCAGTGAGAGAGCGAAGTGAGGCGAGCACGGAGAGGTGTCAGGGGCCGGGCACACAAGGCCTTGTTAAGAATGTGGGCTGTGACTTTGAGAACAACGGGGCAGCTGCTGCAGGCTTTCACACAACAGTGACAGAAGGAGGGTTACATTAGGAGAGCACCTGGGGCTGCACGGAGAATGATGTGGGGACACTCCTTCGAGGCTCTTAAGACATATGTGAGAAGGTGTTTCAGGCTGCCACTTTTCCCATGTTGACAAGCAGTCTTCAAAACTCACAACAAAAGAGCTTTTAGAGACACATTTCTTGATATTAAGTTAAAAACTCTAAAGTTACTGAGCTAGTAAGGGTGCTCACTTTTAGTAACGCAGCACCTTGAAGCTCAAAGTATGACGGTTATATTACCTTGCTCGTCTTTCTAAGGTCTGGGCAGCTGTAGCAGCATTATTATTAATAGTGATGCTATTTAGCCTAATTAAACACTCTGGACATTACAGCCGAAATTTACAGATCACAAAATATCAAGTTAAAAGAGACCTCAGACAATGTTGAGACTCTAATCACTGCAGTTCCACCCACCAGCGCCAGCAGTGCCCCACCCTCACTGAGAATACAGTACAAAGGCCTGAGCACCCGCACCCCGACCTGCGCCCTTGCTTCTTGCCACTCACCCTCACCCCCTCACTCCAGCCACACTGGCCTCCTTGCTGTCCCCCACTCAGCCCCACTGCCTGCTGCAGCCTGGAATGCTCTCCCAGCAGATGTCTGCACTCTCTCTTCATCAGGATCTCTGCTCAGATGGCCTGATCAGAGCTGGCTTACCTGGCCACCCAGGTGCTCGCGCCCCAGTGCTCGTCCTCACTGATTTTTAGTCCTGTGCCAGGTATTACGTTACTGTCTCTTGGCTCCAAAGCTGCCCCTCTACCCTCTGCTGTGGGATTCGGGGGCTGGGGCTCCCCAAATCATACTGCTGTTCCACACTGTCTACTCCCTACCCAGCTTTACCTTTCTTAGAGCACTTATGACTCCTTATTAAATGCTTATGTCTACCTCCTCCCACAAGAATGCAGACTTCATGAAAGCAGGGCTGTGTGTCTTGTTCGCTTTTGTTTTCCCAAGACTTAACTGGTGCTCAGCACAAGTAGGTGTGCTCACATTAGCTGTGCCAGACACTCTTCTCAGTGCCTTACATGTGTTTTATTTACTTTTTTAATCCTCGCAATTCATTCATTTACTCACTTATACACTAATCCCCCCCACCCATATGTCAGGCACTCTGGCAGGGGTAGGGAGTTCAAAGTGGAATAAGGCTCCATCCTGATGCCCAGAGAAGGTACTGTACCACAGAGAGACTGACACAGGAGCAGGGAGCACACAGAACTGCGGTGGATGGTGTGGGTCTAGAAATGGACAGGGCGACCAAAGTGGGGAGTCGTCAGTTTGTGCAGGGCAGGTGCCAGGCAGGCAAAGGGGAAGACACTCCACACAGAGGAGAGTCCGAGAAGACATGCTAGAAATTCCTAACCTGCAAGTCACGGTTGCAATGACCACATAAAGTATGGTCTCCACCAGCACACATGTGAGAGTGAAAGGGAAAAGAGGAGTAAACTGGGTGGTCCCTGCACACCAAGCATCCTAGCCATGGACCTCTGGGGCCCTCTGAATTACTTCAAGGGGTAGTACATCAAAGGCACACAGTCAGCGTCTCCCCACTGAATGTGTCAAGCATATGTCCTCATAATTTTTCAAAGGAATGTAAATGGTATTATGGTAAATAAGTACACATTTATTTAACATGGTTACTAAATCTGCAATAGCTATTTCTCCAGTATTAACGGGATTCCCAAAAATACAACGAACACACAAAATACAAATATTCCACCATCAACTGGAAAGGAGTCTTTGCAGTACAGAAACTGGGGACATGTGTAGCCACTGGAGGATTTTAAACAGAGGGATCTGCACTTTGCATGAGGTCCTCTGCGGTGGCTGGTCTGGAGGCAGATGAAACAAGACCCCAGGTGGCCGTGACCCCAGCTAAGAGGCCACTGCAGGAGGAAGAAATGAAGAGAGCTGGGGCCAAGCCACGTCAGTGGGGAGAGGAGGCGTAACAGATCTGAGATCGATTCACTAGATGCCATGGACTGAATGGGTGTGGAGAGAGATGAGGAGAAGCCTAGGATCCAGAGTGCAGACGGCGGCACAGAGCGGGAGGAAAGACATTAAGGTGCTGGGCAAAAGATGGCATGCAAAGTTTAGGACATGACAGAGGAAGAGATGGAGCAACTTGAAGGAGGGTTCAAACTCTTATTTTTCTGTGATAGTTTAAGAATAGCACTAGATATAGAATGGGCAAATATATTCACCAAAAGTAATGAACGCTTGCTGGTGGTGGAGCCCCAAATTGAGTATCACAATAACAAAATTATTACTATTTTGAAAAGGTTAACTATCTGGCAAATAATTCCAAAAAATATATTCTCATAGGACATGCATATACAAATTTATCAAATTTAATTCTGTTTCCTTTATGATGTACAGAGGAATAATTTTATTACAGATCTCAATTTATCTAAATATTAGACTCAATTAAAGGAGACTATGTTAGGTATAGGTTTGGATTAGTCAATTTACTTCAGGGAGAAAGGAGGAAAAAAACTGGGTAAGTTTATTCACTGGCTCAGAAATTTAAAGGAATATATATACACATATATATATATAATTTGGTTGATTAGTATATTAAGAAAAGGAAAGTCCAAAATCACAAAACACCATTGACATTCTGCCTATTTAATATGCAACTAGATACTTCCTGAGGATAGAGAAGAAGAGAGAATAACATAAATTATTTTACACTCTGTTCAAAGGTAACTGAAAATGTATGGACAAAAGCTAAAGACTACAATCTTATTTTTGCTATAAATATTATGTTAGACTAACTTTCATAGTGAAACACTGGATACATTCTGAAATTAAATTGCTAATGTCTGGGGCTACAGACATGAACAAAATATAGATCCGACGCTCAGTAAACTATGTCATAATAGGTAACATCCACAGGTTTATGTACATGCTTATATATTATAAAACAAAGCTTATATTGTACTTTTCAGGCATTAATACCCACTTAATTTTCAAAATTCTATGCGGTAAGTACTATTATAATTCCCATTTTACACATGAAGCAACTGAGGCATTGAGAGGTTAAGTAAGTTGCCAAAGTCACACAGCTAATAATGAGCAGAGTTGGGATTTGAACCAAGGCATCCTGGCTCTGGAGTCTATACGCTTCACCACCACCCAGGGCACCTCTCATATGTCATAAAAGGCAGGAGAGTTCAGAAGAGGGGAGGCTTATTTCCCACTAGTTGACCAGGGGGAAGGTGATCTATGCCCTAAATCCTGAAGGGCAGGATGTGGCTGTGGGGACGCAAGAGCAGACACTGAGTAAGTAAGGGAGTGGCATCAGGAGAGGCAGCCTCTTGGGAGCACAGTCAGTGGTTCAGCTGGCGGAGCACAGGATAGGAAGGAGCGCTGAGCTCTCGGTGGGCCTCCAGTGCTACTAGGAGTTTTATACTGTACCCAATGAAAGGGCTGAGCTTAATGAAGATAAATGTGGCAACACCACATTAGATGGACTAGAGGTTACCAAAATTAGGCAGAAAATCTTGCTTTATTCATCTTTGTGTGCCTAGTACCACCAAAAGTAGCTATTGGTAAATTTCTGTTCAACCCAAATTTGAGAAAGGGACAATGGCAGAGCTGGGGTGGTGACAGGAGACTGGAAAGAGGGGATGGATCTGAGATGTGAAATTGTCAGGAACACAGGAGATGTCAGAGGCAAAGCATCATCAGACCCTGAGATCTGGGGCCTGAGTGCGCAAGAGACATTAATAGAAACAAAGACAACAGAAGGAAGAGAGGAAAGAGCTGGAAATATGAAAGAAAGAAACCACTATTAACACTTGTCTTTATAAAAGGACAAAAGCAGTGCCCTTGAGACCAAATGTTCCTTCACTGACATTTTGTTCTGAAAAAAGAAACCAGGACAAATGATCTTCTAACCATTTTGTGATAAAATCTGGAGAAACTAAAGGAGATTTTAAGTAATAAAGGATCACTTTCTGAAGTTCTATAATCTATTAAATGGAAAGAGAAAAGTCACTGTGACATACACTACAATGGCCACAAAGCTGAGGTTACCAACATTCAGCATGGCCTGAGAAACTTATAGAGTAAAAATCGGGTGCAGCCTAAAAATTGTAATAACAGACTGACTGCTTTCATGTCATGGGCCCTTGAAAAATATTTGGTTGCTTGGATCTTGTTTAACTGATCTGACCCTCTTATCTTAATCTTCTGAGGGCCACAGGAAAAGTCTGGCTCCTGGAAGAATGCCAGGAATAGGAAGCAATGACAGAAGAACCACTTGGCATCAGAGAGTCGAAAGAGACCAGTGACATACTGAAAACCAACAGGTAACAGTTCGCTATTTAGCTGAGTTTAGGATCAAGTGGGAATCAGACAGAAGTAAAAATATCGGCTTTATCATGATTCTGATATCAAGTGGTCCCCTAATGGAGCCTGGCAATTATGCTCTATGTCCCTGGGGCATTTGCTTTCCCACTCTCCTAGATGACCATTTCATATCGTCTCCACGCCCCTCAAACCTCCAGCACCTGCTTCCCTGTCATCAGTGTCAGAAATAACTTTGCTCCTGTTTCTTGAGAACTCCTACCAGCTCCCAGCACCACATCTCCCCAGCTCCCTCCCTCTGGGCTCACAGACTCTGCCTTCTCTCCAGCTGCTAAGGAGGAAGTGCCCATCTCCTGGCTATGCCTCCTCCCCCTGGGCACCTCTCTGGCACCAGCAATGCTCCTTTCTCCCTCCCACACCATCAACCTTAAATGAATTCATATGTGCACACAGTGCTTAGACAGCGTCTGGCACACAGTGAACACCACATGTGTTAGTTACTAATAACACCAGTTTTTCCAGTCTGCTGGATCTTTCCTGGCCACATACAAACATGGGGTTATTTCTCCCAGCTTAAAAAACAAAACGTCTCAAATCCATGTCTCCTACCAGCTACTGTCCAATTTCTCCCCTCTTTTGAGTAAAGCTTCTCTAAGAAGTTTATGCCCCAGGTCTCCACTTTCCTCACCATTCTCTCTTGAACTGAATCCAAACAGGCTTTTACCCTCACCACTGCCGTCCTCGTTCCCTAAGGTCACCAATGACCCCCACACTGACTCAGCCCCCACCCCAGTTACTTTCCACAGACTGGACAGAGCTGATGGCTTCCTCCTCCTTGATTTGTTTTCTTCCTCTGGCCCCCACAACACCACACTCTCCTGTCTTCCTCCCACCTCACCAGCTGCTCATTTTCAGCCTTTCTGTTGACATCCCTTAGCTCCCAACCATTTAATGACGGGTAGTTCACGGCTCAGTGCCTGAGTCTCTTCACTATCTACACTGCTCCCTTAGTGAGTTTCTCTTGTGGCTTTACCAGTGTAAATACCAGCTTTACGCTGACAAGTCCCAAATTTATAGCCCAAATTTGAACTTGAGACACGTATATCTGTCTGCTCAACATCACCACTCAGATGTTTAATTTGCAGCACAAATATGCTCAGCACTGCGCTCCTGCCCATCCTCCTCAACCACGCTCGTGCTCCAGCATTGCCCATCTGTGCGGATGGCACTTTCATGCCTTCTAGCTGCACAGGCCCCAAACTTGGAGTCATCCTTGACTCCTGTTTCTCTCCCAGCTCACATCTAATCCATCGACAAATCTTGTTGGCTCTACCTTCAAAATATTTCCAGAATCTGACCTCTTGTTATCATCCACCGCCACCTCTCTAGTCCATGGAATTGATATCCCTCACCTGGACTCTAACTGCAGCCTCCTTACTCATCTGCTGTCTCTGCCTTGTCCCTCTTCAGTCTATTCTAACACACTAGTCATACTGATCCTGTTACAAAGTAATTCAGATTCTGTTAATCCTCCCTCCAAGAATTTCCAGTGGCTTCCCACCTAAGAGGAAAAGCCAAGATCCGTAAGATGACCTACAAGATGTGGCTCCTGCCATCTCCCTGAGCTCATTTTCAACTGTCTCCCCATTCCTCTTGCTCAGTCACACTGGCCTCCTTGCTGTTCCCTGAACATTCCAGACATACTCCTACACCAGGACCGTTACACCTCCTGGCTGTCTCCTTCTTCTGAAATGTTTTTTCCTCAGCTATCTACATAAACTGGTCCCCTATGTCTTTTAGTGTTTACTCAATGTCCCCCTCTTAATGAGGCCTTCCCTACCCTATCTTTATAAAATCATACCCTCCTGACATTTTCTATCCCCTTTCGCTTCTTCCCTCCCTCAAAAAGCACTTGCCTGTTCTAACATTCTATATATTTTACTTCTTTACTTTGCTTCCTAACTGTCTCCCCCCACAAAATATGAGCTCCACAAAGGCAAGGACTCTCAACTGTTTGTTCACTGCCGTATCCTCATCATCAAATGCTAAATCCCTAGCATTTAGTAGGTTAATAAATCAATAACCAAGTACTTTTTGAATGACCCAACTCAAAGCATGAGGTTGACATAGAGAACAGGCTTGACATGCAGCTACAACTGTGCTCCTAAATAAGTCCCTCCCAAACTGATTTTACCCCCACCCCAAGACCAGTAGGCATCCCCCTTTCAGAGCCTTCCCTGGAAAACTTAAGGTACATCCATACTGACAACAGGCCCCTCCCAATGAGGAAAGGGGGTTGTAAGCATGGGCCTCCTTTCAGTCCCAACCATCAGGTAAGTGCTCTCTCCTTCCTTGGTGTGGCACCGTCACACTCCCCACCTCTAACTTCCACATTTCCTAGGGGAGAGTTGGAGGAGAGAAGGAAGCCCATAGGGTCCTGGGGAATGGACGGTCCTCCTCTCAATGAAACATGAAGAGTGAGAGCGTCTTATTTTCCCCAGCAATTCCCTAGCACTCCCTAGCATCTTATTTTCTTAACTAGTTTGGCTCAACCTGGTAATCTTAACAGAATGTACTCTACCTGAGACAGAAGACCCAAAAGGGAGAAGGGGCTGAGCAAGCATGCTTGATGCCTCCTCCTCAGCTCCCCAGTGACATCAACTCGGGGCGTGAGAGGGGTGGGCAGAGGGACCACAGGAGCTTGTGCACGCCCCTAATAGAAACCGTCTCATCAGAAACGGAGGCTAAGGGTCAGAGACAAATAAACGAGACAGGTACTCACTTCCAAGTGAACATGCACCCTGTGGACAGAGCAGACCTATAAATGACTAACTCCAAGAACATTAGATTAACATCCTCCTACTCTCTCTTTTGGAAACTCAGCTCAGTGGGAAACTGAAACGGCCTAAAGGTTAATTTGATAAAACTGATTATTCAATTAAAAGGTGATGTTCCTTTAGGAAACATCATACATTAACCTTTTAAATGGGAAATTGACAGTACAGTTATTCTATCAGTAACAATAACAGAAACCAGGGAAGTTTTCCCCCTAAATGGTATTGTTTTGTTGCCAGGATATTGCGGAAAAGGTACAATCTACCAGAAGTGGAGAAACTATTTTTAATTAAAATCATTCAAGAGATCCAGCCAGAGGCTACTGTGGTTGCATGCTGTTCTGCTCTAGTAAAATGACATTATTAAAAAAAATTAAATGGGTCAATAAAGTCTGAGCTCTACATTATGGAAAAAATTACAGCTTCCTAATTATGTCAACCTAACATAGCCTTATGGGTCTGAAGGCAATCTTTCTGAACATATTCTTTCAATTCCACCATCATAATCCATCCAAAATGTCCCTAAGAGCAGGCCAAGACCAGCACATTGCATTGGGAAGCAGGAGCAGTAAGAAAGGCTTTAAACAGTCTACCACCTTCAGGAGGGGGAACTTGATGGAAGAAGGTTAGGGCGGCCTTTCTCCATCTGGAGAGAATCTAAGGCATTGAGGGGAATGCTGATTCCCTCCGTGAATCAACTCCCCTGGTGTGACACCTAGCCACCTTCTCTCAGCCTCCTCCCTCCTTATGGGTCCCATGGGAGGAGGAGGGACTTCTCTGATTGGTAACCAGGCAGAAGGAGCTGGGCACGAACGTGCACGCACAAGCATCTAGCCACAGCTCCTTTCTCTCTCTCTTCTCTCTTTGGGATCTCCCTGCTTATCGACAGCAGAGGTTCTGCTCTGTTCGTCTCTCACATGTGCTATAAAGGGGCCTGCCCCTGCCATCTGTGCTCCAGGGACTGTAATTGTTCGGTGGCACTAATGACTGAGTGGGTCTGTCTAATTCAGGAACCTTCAGCAAGGCCATCCACCTGCAGACCTAAGCTCTGCCTGCCACCTAGATTTTACTAGTGACAAAGCTGGTAACACTTCCATCTCTGTCATGTTAACCTGATTCCTACATCCCATCTCTCTCTCTCTTTCTCTCCCTCTCTCCCACCTCTCTCTGGCAGGAAATAGAAGTGCATTCTTTTTTAACTGACTCCCCCCCAACTGCATCATAGGTCAAATAGGGATCCAATTCAATTACCATTCACCAAGGCACTTCTATGTGCCAGGCATTCACAAACATCTCTCTCATTTAATCCTCATAAGAACATCACCCACATTTTATAAAAAAGAACACACAAAGATGTGGAGTGAGCTGCATATACTCACATGATTAATACCTTGCAGAACTGGGACTGGAAGTTAGATGTGACTGACTGACCTCAAAGCCTATGCTCTTTCAAAGGGATCAAAACATGGCAGGAGCGGAACTCAGAGTGCCTTAGTTGGCAATGAACAGCTGCGACGGGGAAAATGAGTAAAAGACTGAGTTTCTATAATGGGGTGATGGATCAGTCAAGACCAAGAAAACCTCAGGAGCTACAGTTCTATGTGACGTTCAGACCACCCAACCAGTAAATGGCAGAGCTGCGACTGGCCCCGGGGGATCCCCGTCCTCAATCCATCGTAGCTGGGAAAGGGGAAGCTTTAGGCCAGCAGCCTGCTGTCCTGGGCAACACCAGAGAAAAGGACTGAGTGCGTCCGTGCTATAGTGAGCTGGGAACGCTGACACACTGTGTGAGAGCTGAGCTTTGCTGTCTGAGGAGAAATGCCTTAATATCACCATCACAGTCAAAAGTTTAAAACTATTGCCAACTTACAGAATAGCACCCAGATATAATAAACTTTTGATAAATCCATTGCTTTTTTCTTTTTCCACTGCATCTCAGTTATACTGTCTTGTTTGAATCTCCCAACTAGCTGTTGAGTGATTATCACTCTCATTGTTTAGAGCAGGGTTCCACAAAACTTTTTCTGAAAAGGGCCAGATAGTCAATCTATTAGACTTTGCAGGCCATACACTCGGTCACAACCACACAACTCTGCTGTTTAGTGCAAAAGCAGCCACAGATAATATGTAAACAAATGGATGTGGCAGTGTCCCAATAAACTTCTTTATAGACACTGAAATTTGAAGGTCATATACTTTTCATAGGCGATAAAATATTATTATCATTTTTCCCCCAAGCATTTAAAAATGTAAAACCATTCTCAGCTCACAGGCTGTACAAACACAGGCGGAAGGCCGGACTTGGCCTGCAGGCCGTAGTCTGCTGACCCCTGGTTTAGAGGAAGACAATGGGTTTTACAGATTAAATGACTTTCTCAGGTTCATGTGGCTAACAAGGGGGCGAGGTGGCTTGAACTAAACCAACATTTAAAGCATTCGCTTAGTTGGATGCCTTTGCAAGGCCAAGGGAAGCCAATGACGGGTTTCCATGAAAGACCTCTGTAACCACATCTTTAAGCTTAGTTGTCAGGTACTAAGAAAGGAGGTGGAAATTGATAAGTTTATACCAGTTTTGTTAAGTTTTCCAAAATGATTCTAGCTCCATTTTTATGAACTATGATATTAGTGTTTGATATACATACACACCTTTAGAAATAAAATTTACACTGCCATCTAGTGTTGACCAGCTATTTTAAATGAGAACTTACAAATAAGGTCTTCTCGGTACTATGCATTAGAATAATAATTATAGTATATTCCAAAATTATACAAATGAAATATGCCTGAACGTATAAGGTTGCCTATGTTGTTTAAGCAGATGAAGAAGCAGGGATTATTTAAAATTCATGTAGGGTATAATCACTTTCTCTGATGAAGAATAGGAAATATTTTCATTTTTGCATATATTGACAAAGTTTTTCAAAAATCAGCGGATTTATTTTATATTCTCTAACTTTGTGAGGAAGGCTTCTGAAGCACAAACACCTTAGTTTCATAAAGATGAAACCCTACACAGATGCTCCTCGTGATGTCATTTGGTAGGTCCAATCCAACTTCTCCATTAATTTACATGATACCCGTGACGCCAAGTCCTGCGGTAGAAATGCCACACTAAAGCCAGGCGCAAACGCAGGGCAGAGCAAGGGACGTGACATGTGCACTGCAACGTGCCTGTATCTGTTGAGGGCTGAAGCCTCGTCCAGAAACCATTTTAGAAGCCTCGATCAAAACGCTTTCTCTCTTTATAAAAATCAACCTAACCAAAACCCTCACTAGAGGCAGAGCTCTTCTCTCTACAAATGGAATTTTTTGCATGACTTGCCTCACCCCTTCATTTGTTCAGTAAATATCTGTTGAGTGAGAAACTTGGTCTCACTCACCTCTGCAGGCCTCACAACTACATGGTACATACAGAGATACAGACACGTGAGGGTATCAGAGTGAAGCGATTGCTGTGGGGACAGCGTGACTTTGAGGACACGGGGAACGCAAGAGCCCAGCCTGGCTGGGGGAGCTGCTTTTTGCTCTGCAGAGTATTCCACTGCCAACCTGATCTTCCCCATTACGACTCTGCATTATTAAGTAAAAAGTGAGGACAAAAGGCTCAAAAGGAACAGAGGTATGAAAAAGAACAGTCACCAAAGTCATGGTAAAAAATCTGCACTTACCTATAAGCATTAATATAATCTTTCCTGTGTTCCAGAAGAAAATCTCTCAGTTTGCCGATGTGTGAAATCTAAAATTAAAAGAAAGCAAACCAGTTTAGATGGATAGACAGGCCGCACTCACAAGTAATAAATTTTAAGTTAACAGAGAATGGAATGCAGGTCATAGAAAGGATTTGAAGCTACAAACTGGACAACTTTGGTTTTACACTTGTACAATCACTAACTCGTTGGAGCTTGTGGATAGACAGTCACCCATATCCTGAGCCTTGGTCTCACTCTCTCTTTTTTTTAATTTAGGTAAAATTGGTATATAACATTATGTAAGTTTCAGGCGTACAACATTATAACTTAACATCTGTACAGAGCCTTGGTCTCTTACTGACGGTTCCTTCTTCCTGTAATTGTTGTCATCTATGACACTATGAAGAGATGATCTCTAAGGAACATTGAGAGTAAATGGGATAATGCATATCTAGTAACTAAACAGTACATGCTCAATAAAGGCCAATTCCTTTCCGGATGTGTCTTATATCTAAAATTGTATAGACAAATATTCCTTTGTCAACTTAAAAAGCAAATTTGCCTGTTATTTATCTCAAAATTACTTTATTTGGGAATAGCCAAACAACTGCAATTTGGGATGCACATGCTATGGCAAACCATAGGCAAAACAAACAAGGAAGGGGAGCTGCTTGTGTAGAGAAAAAGGAAGAGTAGGGAGGGGCTGTTCTAAGAAAATCCATCAGGGAAAGTAATGGTTCAGTGCGGCAAGGGCTTCTCATTGGCTGAGCTGCCATGTTTCTCACTGGCTGAGCTGTTGCCAGGTGGGGAGAGAAATCTGCCTCCAGCAGTAAAGTAGTTTTACTTCCTGTCCAAGATGCAAGGGTCTGTCTCTTCCTGGTTGGTGTAATTGACGATGTGTGATAGGCCGTGAGAGTTCCCCCTACACGACTTCCCGACTCCAATTCAGTTGAGGTTTTTTATTAATTTCCCACCTCCTTCCAAGTATTCTGGGGGATGGATTCTAAGGCTGGAGCTATCAAGTTTATAAATAGGGCCCATGCAGAGCAGCAGAGTTAAAGAAAAGATTCAGGGGCATCGAATTATCTCTACACAGCAAATCTCCATCTTCCCTATGGCCTGCTTCCATGGATGGATAAAAAAGACACAAAGGTACAAAGGAGTCTGTCTGTAGTGGCCGATTTCTAGTATAATAAAAACCTACCCTAAAGCACCTACTATGTGTCAGGCACTGTGGGTGGAGCTAGGGATTAAAGAATAAATAAAAGAAAATAGAAAGAGATAGGAAGAAACCTAGGACCAAAGTTTACAGGGATAAAAGTGTTCCCAAAAGGATAGAATGATTAACCAAGCCTGTGGCCTGCTCTATCCTTTGACCACTGCTCACATTAGTTTTCTCCTAAGGTCCTTTGTACTTATTCCAAACATACATAGTCCCAGCCTTGAAGGGTCTGCTGAACGTTCATCTTTTCCATGAAAGTTTTTCTGTCAAGGCCAACTCAGGCTAATTTTCGCTTTGCTCTGAACTTAAAAGCACTTCTGCATACCACCCACTTGGCATTCACTTATACACGGCCATGTCCTCTGGCTTAACTTTTATTGCATGCTTCTTTGTCAGTGGGATTATGAACCACACAAGGAGGGGGCTGCACAGCTTCCCCTACAGTTCTAAGCACAGAAGGTGATCAATAAGTATTTGTGGAATGAGTATATGTCTAAATACAAAAATAGTATTTATCACAAAAGAAACACTCAGCATTTGTCTGGAGGTAGGTTAAATCTGGAGTTCAGTCAAATTTCCCAGAGTCTAGACTAATAATAAATATGGTCCAGAAAAGTACCCTGAGGCATTTTAAGAGCAGGAATCAAAGAAAAAATTAAGTATGGCTACAATATTCATTTCTTTACCAGATAACAAACAATGATTGAGAGTCTGCCCACTATCCCCAGCTCTGTTAGGTACTTCACATCCACGACCCCATTCTCTTCCCAACAGCCGCGTTGTGGGCACTGATAGCACTGCTCCCGTTAAGCAGTTTGAGAAGGCGACCTTCAAAGAAGCTACGTGACTTGTCCAAGGTTACACATCTAGTGCATGGCAGAGCTGAGGCAAACTCAGGACTGCCTGAGCTCAAATTCGGCATGTTTTCCAGTACACCACAGCTGCCTTCCTCACACTCTTATTCCTATTTCCTACTTAAGCTGCATGTAAAAGCTGACTTTTAAGACTGTTGGGGAAAAAACTAAGAGAAATGCAAACAAGGTGTTTACCGCATAACATACAAGATTTGATCGTTACTCTCCCTGCTTTAAAACTTTCAATGATTTCCATTACCTTACCCAACCCCTGCCTAGAGAGGGCCAAGTAAACAATATAAATGAGTAAAGCAGGGGAGTAGATGGGTGCAGTACATTGGCAATGATGAATTCTGGTTTTAAAATACACTGTAGCCAATGTGCCAAAGGCAGGCAATGTGTAATCTAACCAATAGGGTCAAGTCCAAACTCCCATAAAGCACTCAAGGCCCTTCCCAATTCAGCTCCAAAAGTCTCGTGTGGCCTCAGTCCGTGCTACACTCCCCTCTAAACTCTAGGCTCCAAGTCCCATGGCTTCCCAACACAGACACCCTGTCCCTGGAATGCCCTAGCGACCTTCTCTCCACCACAAATTCCTCCTTCTATTTCAAGATCCTCCTTTCCTCCCTACACTCGCTCCAGGCAATGCCAGACCCCATTAAGTCACAAACATGAGACACAGATCTACTTCAGCATCTATTTCTTCATGATGACGCAAAGACTTTTGTGGACTGACTTCCCTTCACCAAACTGCAAGCTCCTAGAAGGTAAAGGGTCTTCTCTCTTTCCCCTGAGCTTGTCAGATATAGTTCCTGGTGCACAGCAGAGCCTCAGAAACTTTTACTAAATGTTGAATAAACAGTTGGTACTGCATAATCCCCAAAAGATTATACCTACTGTGGTAGGCAGAATAATGCCACCCCTCTTCCCCTAAAAGATGTCCAAGTGCTAAGCCCTGGAGCCTGTGAGTATGTTACGTTACATGGCAAAGGGGGCTTAACGTAGCAGATGGAGTTAAGGTTGACCTTAAAAGAGGGAGGTTATCCTGGATCTATACTGTATTATCCAGGTAGGCAGGCCCGATGCAATCACAAAGCTCCTTAAATGTGGAAGAGGGAGGCAGAAGAGAGGGTCAGAGTGATGCCATGGGAGAAGGACTCAATCCAATGCTGCTTGCTTTGAAAATGGAGGAAGGGGAGCTAAGGAATTCAGGCAGCCTCTAGAAGCTGGAAAAGGCAAGGAAACTGACTACTCGCTAGAGTCTCCAGAAGAGAACACAGCCCTGCCAACACCTTGATTTCAGCCTGGGGAGTTCCCTTTTGGACTTCTGACCCACATAACTATAAGATAATAAATTTGTCATCTTAAGCCACTAAGTTTCTGGCAATTTGTTACAGCAGCAATGAGAAACTAATATACTCTGTCTTAGTCAGTTTTGGCAACTATATCAAAATATGAAAGACTGGGTGGCTTATAAATAAGAGAAATCTATTTCTCACAGTTCTGGAGGCTGGATGTCCTAGATGAAGGTGCCAGCAGATTTGGTGTCTGGTGAGGGCTCTCTTCCTGGTTTGCAGATAGCTGAGAGAGAGATCCTCTCTCTCATGTCTCTTCTTATAAGGGCACTAATCCCATTCATGATGGCTCATCCTCGTGACCTAATTACCTCCCAAAGCCCCACCTGCAAATGCCAGCCCACCAGGGGTTAGGGATTCAACATATGAATATGGGGAGACACAAACATTCAGACCATAGTATACCTGCTTAGAACCTTAATATCCATGACAGTTTTTTTGTTTAGGAGTCCCAAAGTTTTCCACAAAAAGATTACAAAGGTCCAAAGAAATCTACTACATAGGCTAGATCCAAATGCCCACCCCTTACTGACCTCCCACCCCCATCTTTAGCTGGCTCTAATCTACCGCAGTGGAAAGGTGCGTGGGGATGAGCGCCAGAAACAAGACTGCCCACAGGCATCTCAAAAACATGATTACGAGAGGGTTCACTTAAAGTGTAACAAATGTGATCCCAGTTTCTTATGTTCTATAATGGCAAATTCTTATACAATGAATTTATTAAAACAGAGCAAAGCTTGTTCAGGATTAGATGGATTTCTTAATACGTTCATAGGTGTTAAGTAATTACTGATTTAATAATATCACCAACACAATGACTCAATACTTAACATGAGCCCAATGCACAAAATATTTCAAATGCCAAGAATGAAAAGAATAAATGAATATTAAGATTTCTGCAGGTATTTGACAGCCCTGAAATTCTATTAGATTCCTAAACTAAATACACACAAAAAAATCACAATAAATCAATAACAAAGAAAAAAATTTCAATAGGTGTTTATCTAAATAGACACACTTAAGTCCCCAAATAGCATTTTATGATGGGGTTACCTTCATAAAGAATGATTTGAGGGGCCTGCCTGGTGGCGCAGCAGTTAAGTGTGCACGTTCCGCTTCTCGGAGGCCCGGGGTTTGCTGGTTCGGATCCCAGGTGTGGACATGGCACCGCTTGGCACACCATGCTGTGGTAGGCATCCCACGTATAAAGTAGAGGAAGATGGGCATGAATGTTAGCTCAGGGCCAGTCTCCCTCAGCAAAAAGAGGAGGATTGGCAGCAGTTAGCTCAGGGCCAATCTTCCTCAAAAAAAAAAAAAAAATGATTGATTTGACAGTTTAATCACATGACTACCATGGTCTTTGTAGATGCTTGGCCACCTGGTTACTGTTGTGCTTAGTCCTATGTTTTTTTTTTTAAAGATTTTTATTTTATTTTTTTATTTTTTTTAATTTTTTTTTCCTTTTTCTCCCCAAAGCCCCCCGGTACATAGTTGTGTATTCTTCGTTGTGGGTTCCTCTAGTTGTAGCATGTGGGACGCTGCCTCAGCGTGGTCTGACGAGCAGTGCCATGTCCGCGCCCAGGATTCGAACCGACGAAACACTGGGCCGCCTGCAG